CAAATTCTATGAATCTGGCGAAATCCGTCCCGAACAAAACGCGGTCATCGGAGGTATGACTTCAGGTATTCTTAATCTCAGCCCTGGACGGCGGTGACCGGTTAGCCACGCGTTTCGGCCGCATCGGGTACTAGGCTGAGGGCCCCACGCGATGATGGCGAATCGGTCTTCGATGGTCCAAGTTATTGCTCAGTCACTCTTCTAGTTAGGTCAATGTCGAAGACTGTTGGAGAGTGTTCGGGTAACAGTGGGTATTTCGTGTTGCAGAACTGGACAGAAATGCTTAAACAGAAATTAAGCCGTAATCCTGAAGTCTGACAAAGGGCTCCAACATAAAAAAGACGTCAGTCGGGCTTCGAACGGTCACTCCTTTCGATTGGATTTCGGCTCTCCTGGAACGAATTAAAATGACTTCGCTCTGTGTGTGACCCTTTACCTGGAAATTATTTCAAACCTCACAACGTTGGCACTGAAATTATTGCAGTAATATGCTACAAAAATATCAAAGAAAATGGTGTTTATGTAAAAGGGAATTAAAGTTACTTTGTTATATCTCAGAGAAGACGCCAAGAACCGGATACATACGATAATATAGTCCTTGTACCTACCACACAGCTGTCAGAAGTAATCTTTGTCGCGAGTAAATTGATAGTCGTCTCAGCGAAAGTTTTGTGAACTTCTGGCCGCAGTAAACGTTTTCCGCATCTTGGTAAATGCCAGTTCTTACATAATTAATACGCACGTAACAATCGTGTTCGGTGATGTCAGCGCAAACTTCAACTTCAGGATAATTCGGTGTTTGCGCTCACTCAGTCGACTCAGCAGTGACTGACTTTGGCCCAGGCGTCCGGGGTTCGAATTCCCTGCAGGGTAGATATTTTTCTCTTAACTGCAGACCTTACTCAATGGGTACCCGGGGCAAAGCGGCCGGAACATGAAGCCGACGACCACTCGCCTTGGCGTCCCACGCCTTTAAAGCGTAGCACGTAATTAAACACGGGGATAAGTTGCCGAATAATTGGCAGCGCCCACTTTAAATAATTCAGAATTTATCCGTGTTGAATCTGTGATGCGTACTCTTGAATACGTCACGTTTACCAAATGTACCCGTACCTCCTTCATTCAGACGGGCTCCGGCACTTCAAAGTGTAATTGTAATTATGTGTATGATAGAGTAATTGTCACTCATAACTGTGCCATTTTGCCATTCACTGTGTTACAAATTAAATAGTCTACCTACCTGAGAAGGCTGTGTGTTGTTTCATTAAGCAAGTGAACTGGTTACCAGAGTTGAACACAAATACCACAGGGGTAAGTGTGAAATGGCGGCGAGGTAATTCTGTTCTGAATATTTTGATCTAGAACAATTCGTGCGATGAAAATAAATCACGAGATGAGAATTGGTGCCCCTTGGTAAAATCCTGTTAGTCAACTCGCAGAGATGTGTTACGCGAAACAGAATGAACATTTCGTGACAAAGGGTACAATAATCATCCCCGTGGGAAGGACCATTTCTTCTTCGACACTCCGAACCCACAATAAATAACCGTTGGTATATTTTTCATGACGTAAACGTAGTTTGATGATTGCGTGCTCTGAGCTGGAAATAAATACCGGTGTGGATTCAGATGACTTGCACGTCCGCTCCATTTCCATTGCCTGCAAAGAGGACGAGAGATTTTTAAAAATATTTTTTCGGCAAATACAAGCGGTCAAGTTTGTCAGAATTATATATTTCGATTCCGTGCCCTTTAAAGTTTTCCGTTGCGGCTTTATTAGTGTCCAGGAGTTTGTTGACACGCCGTATACAAGGACTGTCTTCAGAAAGAACCTCTACAACTGCTGGACATTTTCTGCATTACCTCTGTGCCCAAACGGACACCCAGTGCTACCTAGTGAACACACAGTAAACCTACGTTGGACGCGTAATGAACAACGGAATATGATATCTTTTCCATTATGTGCACGGCGACATGACACGTGATCAGCGATCGCGCTGAAGACAGTCATTTGTTTTGAGGAAGAAACCCGTGCGCTGGGCGGCCATGTTGTAGTAGGTGGGCTGAAGGCGAGCCGGTCGCGTGTGTGCAAGACAAAGATTTTTTGTGTGGAAGTTGTAGTTTCGCGTTTGGTGTACTAATATTTTTGGTGCAGTGATAGTTTATGCAGCTTCATTTGCTGACCAACAGCGAAGGTGAGTACCAGAATAAACAGCGAAGAAATATGAATTTGGTGGAAGCGGAGACTGCCCGCTTCAAATGTCACTGTGCGTTATGATGCTGTGTGACCTGTGAAGGTTATATGCACACCAAGTAGGGTTGCCAGTAAAAGTATATTATTGTTTTATAACAAATGCTTCTTGGGCCGTTTAACGTGTTTTAATGCAGGAAACACCAGCGTTTCTAGAACCTTCTTTGACCTTGCCACCTCACACGGCTAGTAGCCCGGGAAGAATTCATTATTCATAGTCGCCGTGAAGGCGTCGGATCATACATAACATAATTTTTTTTGTTCCAAATTAACTAACTTTAAGTTCTGAACACCCTTCTGTGTGGCCCTCAAATGCGTTCTATTTTTGCTTGAGGGAAGGACTAAAATACATGAAGCAAAGTGCTCCTGAGAAGGATCAGGCGAATGGGGTAGTTTGGGACAGTGAATGTGTCTACAGAATTTTGGCCGGGAAACCACTTTAAAGATGGGGATAACACGAAGATTTATCATGCAGAGAAAGTTACGAGGATCGGAGGTGTGGATGGAAGTAGCGAAGGATCTTTTGTAATGGGAGCGTTTGGTCCTGGCAGTATTCATCTTCTGGGTTGTGCTACCACAGTTAACGCAGTTCATAAATTCGACGTCTGTGTATTGTATAATTCTGAATTTTCTGCTGTCACCGTTTGAGGAGTTTTTCCAAAATAAGCACTTTTAAATTATTCCCATTTAAAAAAATAATAGTTTTCATGTTATTGGTATAGGGTCAGAGTTCAATTGAATGTTTTAAGAAGGGGGTGACTTCGACAAGCCTGATTAATTCTTACGCAATTCCATTTGACCGTGCTCTGACCCGGCAGCCTTCCCCACTTCTAGTTGCTGCTTCCCCTTTCCAGCTCTACCCCCCCGGGCGACGCGCTCGTACGCTGTGGTTGCCTACGTATCGAGGCCCCAGGCGACTGAATGTCCAAGGACTTGTTAGTCTGTTTAAATACGCTGCATCTCTTGTGGCACCAAACGGCCGTGGTATACTTTAATTAAAAGGAGTAGGCTGTCTGTAATCACTTCACTCCTCCACGTGAAGTGTCGCTTCTTCACGTCAGGATGGAGGAAGCAAGTAGTGGCGAACCGTTGACAAGGGGTGGTCCTACAATTTTGGGATGAGGCCGAGGGCTAGTAAGTCCCCACCGTAGACGAAGCAGATTGTTACAACGTGGACAACTTCATTGGCTTATTTTTCTGAAACGGGGATTCGCTCTTCGAAATATTTGCAAGTTGTGTCCGTACCGCAGAGAAAACGCCGTTTGATCTGAGAATTGCAGGAAACCCGTAGATATGTCCGGTGGGCGATTGATGACTGTCAAAACAAGTGGTACATATAGTTACCACTTTGTCATAAAGGGTAAATATTTACCTCCGACTGAAAACATCGTTTATTAAAGCAAAATCTGTTACATGGACTGACTTAGGCCCATCTTCCCGCAAAGTTCGAATTACGCGAGCTGTCGCCGGTTCTCGGGGCATAAACTTAAAGAATTATTGAGCTGTTTGTTTCGCTCTTCGTCACAATTTCCACGGAGAGTTTTCATGGCGCACTGCATTTGTTTCTGTTCGCAGTCAGGAAAGGAGAATACGACGACGTCTCGTATAAAAACAGGGGGACAAGAGCAAAGATATTAAAGTGAAGAAGTAATGGCTTCTTGTCATCCAATAACGACCTTCTTTTTATTTTCTTTGCTCTTTTTGTCCTCTATTCTTTCGTCTGTTGTTCTCTCCACATTTTATTTATTCCTTGTGCTCGTACTGCAGCCTTTTACAAGAAATACTTCGAAATCGGGCCCAATATTCTGCAATTAATTAGGGGCCAGTCCCCCCATCCCCCTCCTCTCCCTCGCAATCGTGTTTAATTTGTAATAGTCAAACGCGGGCAAATACAAAGGAAAGCTGTAACTCTCCATTTTTTGTACCTGAAACTGCTCTTAGTTGAGATTACATCTCCTGCGACAATAGACTTACCTTTCCGACTATTAAAAACAGAAAAAGAGGAGTTCTCGAGGGATACATTTTAAACTACGGAATCAGAACAGGTGATGGTCATTAGGCGAGGACAGGTTTCAGCTCCGACAGAAAGAGACAGGCTGACGGTCAAGACGCCTTCCTAGACGCAGTAGCGTTCTGGTTCGATGCATCACGACTGTTTACTCAGGCGATCTTGTGTGTTACTGAACATCAACGCCTCAGAGCAATGTTACTCACCCCGAGGCCCGCGACTTCTGTTTTAATTTCCTCGGATTTTTTTACTGTTCTGAGCTTTGAGCTAGTTTCATTGTTCTGGCCGTGGCCGCGGGGACGTTTCAGGATGTTGCGCCGTGCAGTCTCGAAGAAATTGGTCGACGTTTCAGAGGTGCCTTTATTTGTATCCCACGTCTGCATAAACAAATGATTTTAAGCAGAGCCGCGCTGCTAGCGAGTGCCTTGGCCGTCAAATGGAGCGGAACGTTCGCTTGTGCACGTGTTGTTCCATCACTCACTTGCGTCACAAGTAATGTATCCCACGTGTGTAAAGGATCGGGAAGGTTATTATGCGGGTTCCAGTCCTGGGAATATTCTCAAGACGTTGCCAGTTTTGAAATGGGATAGTTCAGAATATTCTTCCGTCAGAGTTTCAATATTCCTAGAATTTTTTGAATAAATAACATAAATATGAATACAAAATTTGCGCAGTCAGAAACTGCAGAATATGACAGAAAGAAAGCCGCTGGATGAAGACTACGGAATTTTGTGAAAATCGGTCAGTTGATTCAAAATTTTGTAAGGGGGCCAAAAGATAGGAAGACGTGTGAGTGTCACGACAACCAAATGGCCTGAAGACGCGCGTCTAGCCAGAACCGACCGACGTCGCATGTTCCGCTGTTGCGTGCAGCGTCCGCCGTGCCGCGATGAAACTCGGTAAGGCGCCTTTGAAGTGGTCTAGCCTCGCCTCGCCTCAGTTCTGCCAGCAGCGCCCCGACTCCTTAACTTCAGACTTAATTAGCGCTTCTAATCTTCAATTAAATTAAGCCGAGTGAAGTCAAGTTTATTTCAATATAACTCGACTCCCGCTGTGTGTGTTTGCGGCATAATGAGAAGCCAAGACGCTGGTGGGGAAGGCGACGTATTATCTGAAAGGGGGCGCGCGGAGCAGCGGGGTAAAGCAGGAGATTGCGTTCAGCCACAGACTTCGGCGGTTTCGCAGCAACAAGACTCCAAAGCGAAATTAGGGAACACTGAGACAGAAGTAAAGACGGTTTGAATGATTCGTCGTCTCTCAACACGGTCTCCTTTCTTTCAAAGCTTCTGTGCATTTCCTGAGGACTCCGAGCCAAAATATAAATTATGCATTTCATATGGCGCAGGTTTTTACACGACAGAAATACTTTATTTAAGTTTCGAAATATTTTGTAGAAAATACAAATTGTTTCCTTAACCACCTGTAATTAGGGGACAAAATAAATCACAATGAGATGGGAGGGGCATGCAGCACGCACAGTTTATGAGACACACCTCGCTGGAAAACCTTGAAGAAAGAGATAATTTGTGTGACCAAGTCGCAGACGACACTCTAATATTGAAAATGATATCAAAATAATCACAGCGTTAGAATGTGGACGGCTGTCATGAAACCAGTGATTCCATCCACTTCTCAAGAAGGGCTCTTCTGCGTGAAACACTAGTTAAAAGCCTTCTAGCCAGGAATATGATTTTTGCTGAAAATGTTCCTCTGCTTTTAAGTCCCACGCCATGAAGACGAATGGGGGGAATGGAGGCAAAGCCCAAAATACACAAATGTGTTATCACATCGATGGGAAGCAGTGGTTTTTGTGTTCCTTCAGAGGTGAGCTGTTGAAAATTCTATCCGAGAAGGAAGACTGTTGCTCGTCTCGGCTGCTCCTTTGGGGAAAAGGATCAGCCAATGCATCAGTGTCAGAGGGAGCCGAAGTGTCGTCTAATGAGAGACAACAAACCGTACATGTGTTACCATGGGCTCTTTAACCTCCTCGGCAGTTTTCTGCTTTTGACGTCCTCCTGACACAAACTGTTCAAATAAAAACGTATCGGTGATAAGAACATCGAATAATCTCATGTAGGCACGCGTCTAGCAGAAACGTTTCAGCGGAGGACCACCACTTCGTGATTTTCCACTTCATTCTCATCTTTATGTAGTGACGTAAAAAATATCGCGTGTACAAATTGCAAAGTTCTGAGGCCGAGTTCTCCTGTCCTTTCGCCGTAAGCAGCTGTGGGATTGGCAAAGCCACGTATGTTGGTAATAATCTCAGATATAGTCATGGCGTTGCTATTTGCTTGCACGTTTGTGTACTATTTACAAGGTGGTAAGGATTCACACCACACATCAAACTGAGACACAGACTTTCCCACGCAAGTTCCTGGTGAGTTAAGATAAGGGAAGATTGTCGTGTAGAAGAGGCTTTTACCATAGAAACAAGCCGAACTGTCAGTGTTTGGAATTCCAGCTTCAGGCGAATAATTCTTGTGTAATGTTCGAAGTGCCAAGTGTCGCTTGGCTGCCAGTAGCCAGTAGCTGCTACCTGCGGTGTTGAAGTCACAGCTGAGCGCTTCTGAAACCGAAGTAACGCGTTTTCACGGTAGTGCCTCGGCTGCTAAGAGGTTCTGGCCGCTTAAGGAGCCCCAAGGTTCATTACCCTGCCTGCGTCTTGCAAGAATCTCTTTTCATGCTTGCCGACTGAAGCTTCGTAGCCGCTCCTCGTTTCTCAGGGTCTCAGCTCCTGATTTACAACCGAAACAATTTGGCGACGAGAGCCTCAGTGCAAACATTCTCATCAGTTTCCTCCACTTCCTGCGGACTGAGGTCGACTTGCGGATGAAACACGTACTCACGCCCGCGTCTTCTCATGTTTTCCTGTTATTTTCAGGTTATTTATTCGTGGTTTACTTTGCGCTGTTAGTGACTCGGACTGCACACAG